TAGGGGGCTAGTTTGGAGTGGGGGGCTAGGGTGGTGGGGGGCTAGTGTGTGGAGTGGGGGGCTAGGATGTGGAGTGTGGGGATAGGTGTATTAGAAGGCTAGTTTGGAGTGGGGGGCTAGGGTGGTGGGGGCTAGTGTGTGGAGTGGGGGGCTAGGGTGTGGAGTGTGGGGATAGGTGAATTAGGGGGCTAGTTTGGAGTGGGGGGCTGGGTGATGGGGGCTAGTGTGTGGAGTGGGGGGATAGGTGAATTAGGGGACTAGTTTGGAGTGGGGGGCTAGGGTGGTGGGGGCTAGTGTGTGGAGTGGGGGGCAAGGGTGTGGAGTGTGGGGATAAGTGTATTAGGGGGCTAGTTTGGAGTGGGGGGCTAGGGTGGTGGGGGCTAGTGTGTGGAGTGGGGGGCTAGGGTGTGGAGTGTGGGGATAGGTGTATTAGGGGGCTAGTTTGGAGTGGGGGGCTAGGGTGGTGGGGGCTAGTGTGTGGAGTGGGGGGCTAAGGTGTGGAGTGTGGGGATAGGTGTATTAGGGGGCTAGTTTGGAGTGGGGGGCTAGGGTGGTGGGGGCTAGTGTGTTGAGTGGGGGGTTAGGGTGTGGAGTGTGGGGATAGGTGAATTAGGGGGCTAGTTTGGAGTGGGGGGCTAGGGTGGTGGAGGCTAGTGTGTGGAGTGGGGGGATAGGTGAATTAGGGGGCTAGTTTGGAGTGGGGGGCTAGGGTGGTGGGGGCTAGTGTGTGGAGTGGGGGGCTAGTGTGTGGGAGTGGGGGGATAGGTGTATTAGGGGGCTAGTTTGGAGTGGGGGGCTAGGGTGGTGGGGGCTAGTGTGTGGAGTGGGGGGCTAGGGTGTGTAGTGTGGGGATAGGTGTATTAGGGGGCTAGTTTGGAGTGGGGGGGCTAGGGTGGTGGGGGCTAGTGTGTGGAGTGGGGGGCTAGTGTGTGGAGTGTGGGGATAGGTGTATTAGGGGGCTAGTTTGGAGTGGGGGGCTAGGGTGGTGGGGGCTAGTGTGTGGAGTGGGGGGCTAGTGTGTGGAGTGTGGGGATAGGTGTATTAGGGGGCTAGTTTGGAGTGGGGGGCTAGGGTGGTGGGGGCTAGTGTGTGGAGTGGGGGGCTAGTGTGTGGAGTGGGGGGATAGGTGTATTAGGGGGCTAGTTTGGAGTGTGGGGCTAGGGTGGTGGGAGCTAGTGTGTGGAGTGGGGGGCTAGGGTGTGTAGTGTGGGGATAGGTGTATTAGGGGGCTAGTTTGGAGTGGGGGGCTAGGGTGGTGGGGGCTAGTGTGTGGAGTGGGGGGCTAGTGTGTGGAGTGGGGGGATAGGTGTATTAGGGGGCTAGTTTGGAGTGGGGGGCTAGGGTGGTGGGGGCTAGTGTGTGGAGTGGGGGGCTAGTGTGTGGAGTGGGGGGGATAGGTGTATTAGGGGGCTAGTTTGGAGTGGGGGGCTAGGGTGGTGGGGGCTAGTGTGTGGAGTGGGGGGCTAGTGTGTGGAGTGGGGGGATAGGTGTATTAGGGGGCTAGTTTGGAGTGGGGGGCTAGGGTGGTGGGGGCTAGTGTGTGGAGTGGGGGGCTAGGGTGTGGAGTGTGGGGATAGGTGTATTAGGGGCTAGTTTGGAGTGGGGGGGCTAGTGGTGTGTGACGTCACTCTGTTTATTTAAATCCACTTCCGGCCGGTTTCCTACGTCCGCCTTTTAAAACCCGGCTCGTGGGAATCCATTTTGGAATCGACTCATCCCAGAATCGAATCCGCACACCTCCGTGCGCGTTTAGGTGGGTGCCGGGAGTGAATCGCCCACGGGAATCGTCATATAACCGAAAACTGAAAATCGATTCTCCTGCCGGCGTCGACCCCCGCGATTCGCGTGCAGCTGGGCAGGAGTGGGCAGAGGAGAGTCGTGGGGAGGAGAGTCGTGGGGGGTAGAGTCGAGGAGGGTAGAGTCGAGGGGGTAGAGTCGAGGGGGTAGAGTCGTGGGGGGTAGAGTCGAGGAGGGTAGAGTCGAGGGGGTAGAGTCGAGGGGGTAGAGTCGAGGGGGGTAGAATCGAGGGGGTAGGAGAGACAGAGTGGAGGTGTAGCGGAAGATAGAGACGAGGAACTAGGAGTGTCGAGGTGAGAGTGCAGCAGCAGCAGGAGAGTGCAGCAGGAGAGTGCAGCAGGAGGAGAGAGCAGCAGGAGGAGAGTGCAGCAGGAGAGAGCAGCAGGAGGAGGGTAGAGCAGCCCGAGAGTGCAGCAGCAGGAGGAGGGGAGTGCAGCAGCAGGAGGAGGGGAGTGCAGCAGCAGCAGGAGAGAGCATCAGCAGCAGCAGGAGAGTGCAGCAGCAGCAGGAGAGTGCAGGAGTAGAGTGCAGCGGCAGGAGGAGGAGAGTGCAGCAGGAGGAGGGGAGTGCAGCAGGAGGGGAGTGCAGCAGCAGGGGAGTGCAGCAGCAGGAGGAGGAGTGTGTGGGCGTGAATAGAGGGAAGTGGAGGAGAGGTCAGCAGCGTGTGGAGAGAGAGACCTCATCAAGCACTTGCCATGGAACAGCTTGTGACGCGGGTGAGTGTGAGGCGGGTGAGTGTGAGAGGGTGAGGGTGAGTGTGAGAGGGTGAGTGTGAGAGAGTGTGAGGAGGGTGAGTGTGAGAGTGTGAGAGAGTGTGACGCGGGTGAGTGTGAGGGGGGTGAGTGTGAGAGAGTGTGAGAGAGTGACGCGTGTGAGGGTGAGTGTGAGAGTGTGAGGGGGGTGAGTGTGAGAGAGTGTGAGAGAGTGTGAGGGGGGTGAGTGTGAGAGAGTGTGAGAGAGTGTGAGGGGGGTGAGTGTGAGAGGGTGAATGTGAGAGAGTGTGAGGGGGGTGAGTGTGAGAGAGGGTGAGTGTGAGAGAGTGTGAGGGGGGTGAGTGTGAGAGGGTGACGAGTGTGAGGGTGAGTGTGAGAGAGTGTGAGGGGGGGTGAGTGTGAGAGAGTGACGCGTGTGAGTGTGAGAGAGTGTGATGGGGGTGAGTGTGAGAGGGTGACGAGTGTGAGGGTGAGTGTGAGAGTGTGAGAGAGTGACGCGTGTGAGCGAGAGAGTGACGCAGGTGAGTGTGAGAGAGTGTGAGGGGGGTGAGTGTGAGAGAGTGACGCGTGTGAGTGTGAGGGAGTGTGAGGGGGGTGAGTGTGAGGGGGGAGTGTGAGAGAGTGTGAGGGGGGTGAGTGAGGGAGTGTGAGATAGTGTGAGGGGGGTGAGTGTGACGAGGGTGAGTGGGAGAGAGTGACGAGTGTGAGGGTGAGTGTGAGGGAGTGTGAGGGTGAGTGTGAGAGAGTGTGAGATAGTGTGAGGGGGGTGAGTGTGAGAGAGTGACGCGTGTGAGGGTGAGAGAGGGTGCGGGTGAGTGAGTGTGTGAGTCTGTGAGGGTGAGTGTGGGAGTGTGATGGTGAGGGTGAGAGAGTGAGGGGGGTGAGTGTGAGAGAGTGTGAGGGTGAGTGTGAGTCTGTGAGGGTGAGTGTGATGGTGTGGGTGTGTGATGGTGTGGGTGTGTGATGGTGAGGGTGAGTGAGAGTGAGGAGGGTGAGTGTGGGAGAGTGTGTGAGTCTGTGAAGGTGAGTGAGAGTGAGGGTGTGTGATGGTGAGGGTGAGTGAGAAAGTGAGGGGGGTGAGTGTGAGAGAGTGTGAGGGTGAGTGTGAGTCTGTGAGGGTGAGTGTGAGTCTGTGAGGGTGAGTCTGTGAGGGTGAGTGTGGGAGTGTGATGGTGAGGGTGTGTGATGGTGAGGGTGAGAGGGTGATGGTGAGTGAGAGAGTGAGGGTGAGGGTGTGAGCATGTGTCACTGTGAGGGTGTTGTCTCTGAAGGTGTTGTCATTGTGAGTGTGAAGGTGTTGCCATGGTGAGTGAGGGTGTTGTCTGTGAAGGTGTCACTGTGAGGGTGTTGTCACAGTTAGGGTGTTGCCACTGTGAGGGTGTTGTCACTGTGAGGGTGATTCCACTGTGAGGGTGTTGTCATTGTTGAGTGTGAAGGTGTTGTCATGGTGAGTGAGGGTGTTGTCTGTGAAGGTGTCACTGTTAGGGTGTTGTCACTGTGAGGGTGTTGTCACTGTGAGTGTGTTGTCACAGTTAGGGTGTTGTCACAGTTAGGGTGTTGTCACTGTGAAGGTGTTGTTTGTGAAGGTGTTGTTTGTGAAGGTGTCACTGTGAAGGTGTCACTGTGAAGGTGACACTGTGAGGGTGTTGTCACTGTGAGGGTGTTTGTGTGGCTGTTGTCAAGATGTTCCCCATCGGGTGTGATGTTTTTGCTTCTGTTGGAGGGTTTTTGTCGTGGTGGTTGTGTTGAGGTTTATTTGTAATTGTTTGTTCTGTTGTCGTGGTGGTTGTGTTGTGATTGTTGTGCGTTGTGTTATTGTAGCATTGTCATGTGACGTGTTGTGTTGTAGTCGTTGCGATGTGCGATGTGCTGGGTTGTTGGGCGGTGGTTGTTGTTGGTTATATTGCCGCATTGTGTAATCTAATAGGTTGTGTAATGGGTTGTTGTGGTGGTTGTGTTTATTAAGTTGTGTTCTGGGTTGTTGTGTTAATTGGTTATCATGTTCTGTGATGTGTTGTGCAGTGTAATGAGTTGTGGTGGTTGTGTAATGTGTAGTGGTGGTTGTATAGTGTAATGTATAGTGGTGGTTGTGTTGTGTAATGTGTAGTGGTGGTTGTGTTGTGTAATGTGTGGTGGTGGTTGTGTTGTGTAATGTGTAGTGGTGGTTGTTTTGTGTAATGTGTAGTGGTGGTTGTGTTGTGTAGTGGTGGTTGTGTAATGTAATGTGTAGTGGTGGTTGTGTTGTGTAATGTGTGGTGGTTGTGTTGTCTAATGTGTGTTGGTTGTGTTGTGTAATGTGTAGTGGTGGTTGTGTTGTGTAATGTGTGGTGGTGGTTGTGTTGTGTAATGTGTAGTGGTGTTTGTGTTGTGTAATGTGTAGTGGTGGTTGTATAGTGTAATGTGTGGTGGTTGTGTTGTGTTGTGTAATGTGTAGTGGTGGTTGTGTTGTGTAATGTGTAGTGGTGGTTGTGTAATGTATACTGGTGGTTGTGTTGTGTAATGTGTAGTGGTGGTTGTGTAATGTGTAGTGGTGGTTGTGTTGTGTTGCATAGTTGCTATGCTCTCTGGCCAGTGACGTGGCTGGGCTGGCAGCAGCTGCTGTTATTGTTGTTGTTGTGTAAACCGCGGTGTGTCATCGTGAGACTCATCCTGGCAACAATCGCGAGAGAGGCAACCACTAACCGCAACAACTAACCACGACCACCACATCAGTAACCACAACCACAGGTGTAGAGGTACATAGATGTATAGTGTACACACGTCCCCGCCCCCAACCCATTTTTCCTTGTGTCTCAGTGTTTCATCTCCCCGTGTATTTGTCCCCACGTGTGTCCTGTTTAGGTTTGGTCTCTGCTGGAGGCCACGGGCCTGGGCCCCCACGTGCTGCACATCACCGCGCTGGGCCACAGGGTGCTGGAGGCCGTCGACTCTTCGTGCGCGGACCTAAGGCCTTGGCAGCTGCTGCTGGTGTCGTGCGTGTGCACGCTCGTCCTCGTGCGCGCTTACAGGATAGTCCACCAGCCTGAGAGTGAGTGAGCGTGGGTGCGAGCGGGTGTGAGCGATGGGGTCAAATGGGCACGGTACGGGCTGGAGAAGAGATGGAGCTGATGCGGTTCAGGAGGATGTGGAACTGAGTGGATTTGCCCATGACCGGTACCAGCGGTGTCAAGATCGGCCTCTGTGGAGGATGTGCGTGAAGGATGCTTCTGGGCCGTCGGCGGCAGTCGCCTTCCAACAACAACAACAACAACGGAGAGCGGAGGAGCGATGCTCACAACAACGAGCGGAATGGCGGGTGGTTAAAATACCGCAAGGTGGCACAGTGGGGAGCACAAGTGGGGCATCTATTGGCCAGTCATCTCAGTCAGTCAACCCACAGCACCTGGGTCTGCCCCGTGACTTGCCAGCGAGCCTTTGACACTTCATGTGGCCTCCACGTGCACCTCTCCCGGCACAAGTGCTGTGTTGACGTCACCGCCACTTATTGGTGAATGGTGGCTGTTGTTGTTGTGCACTGTGCTAAAACCCCAGAGTTTGTTTCCTGCTCATGACCAATAACAGTGATAGGGAATATTTGAACCGGTCCTGGGCCTCCCTTGGGTGTACTCAGCCTTAAAGGAGTATAGTACCCGGTGCAATGTATAAACATCAGCATTGGGGAGACAAAGGTGCTGTGCTGGCCTTCATGGGTGCTATTCACTAACACCACTTTCCCCAAGTCAGTTAAGGCTCTATGGGGGGGGGGTGGTCTTTGTCTTTTGTATGACTGAGGTCTTGTGGGAGGGGTAACCCCTCAGCTCAGATAACATCAAGGTAGGGATAACCCTGCTGAGGCTACCGTGCCTCAAATAATATAAGTAGTGGAACCACCTTGTGAGTGGCTGGCTGACGTGCCATCTGCTGAGGAAATTCAGCGAGCGATCCACAGCCTGAGCCCAGGTAAAGCGAAGTGCTGAGGGAGGGTGACGTTTGTGTGCAGGCTGCCCGGTATGATCTCATCATCACAGCCGACTGGTGCTGCCCAGAGGCGTGCTTCGCAGCTATTGGAAGGATGCCCCGGTTGTGAGAAAGGGGGGCCACACTGATTGTAAACAACAACTACAGGGTGGGATCTCCATCCTCAGCGTGCCGGGGGGAACAAAAAAAAAGGCGTGTCTAGGATTGTGTTCCACGGTTGTGACTTGGGCCTGCTGCCGTGCAGATTTTTTACGTGCGGGCATGCCAATCCTCACATGCATTACTCATGTTCCCCTGCAATCAGGTTACCGGTTCCTGACTTGAGAAAACGGTATCCGGTTCACACCAGCTACTATGTAATGGGATTGCACTGCGCCCGTTTGCTCTCGATCAGGTCACTTGGGGCCTATTGATGTGCAATCGGATTACACGGGAGATGGAAGGGGGTGTGGTGGGAGGGCGCACGTGCGAAGTCAACGGATTTGGCTGCGTGTGCCCCGCAGGTCTCCACTCCAGGGTGAAGAAGGCGTTCTTCCGCATGGTGCGTCGCCTGCCCTACCTGAGCACGACCGTGAGTCCACCCACAGCTCCACCCAATACACCCAGAGCTTCACCTACTCCACCCACAGCTCCACCCACTCCACCCAGAGCTCCACTCAATACACCCAGAGCTCCACCCACTACACCCAGAGCTTCACCTACTCCACCCACAGCTCCACCCACTCCACCCAGAGCTCCACCCAATACACCCAGAGCTCCACCCACTACACCCAGAGCTTCACCTACTCCACCCACAGCTCCACCCATTACACCCAGAGCTTCACCTACTCCACCCACAGCTCCACCCACTACACCCAGAGCTTCACCTACTCCACCCACAGCTCCACCCACTACACCCAGAGCTTCACCTACTCCACCCACAGCTCCACCCACTATACCCAGAGCTCCTCCACCCACGCTGCAGTGTGGTGGTTGAACACGGCCAGTGTCTGGCATAGAGTGAGTGCTGAACACGGGCAGAGGAAGGTGATAGGATCTGTAACCATGGTGGCTGTAGCGGCGGCGAATAAAGCTGTGATTAGAATGATTGAAGGGATCTCGGCGGTAGCTCTGTGATATCCTCTACCACGGGTTTTCCGCTCTCTAATAACATGGAAGGTTGCAGTTAACCGCGGGAAATCGGCACGGACAACAAATTAGTTGCCGCGGTTACCGATCTCGGAGGCGTGGCGTTAATGAGTGAGTGACGCCTCCCGGCCTCCGTGTGGGGCCGAAGTCACCACGGCGACCCCGTGCCTCCACGTGGCGCTGCCATCACGACCCCGTTATCTCTCCTCTCTCCCCTCGTTATCTCCCCCCTCGTTATCTCGTCGCTGTGTTATCTCGCCACATTATCAATCGCCCTCTACCCCCTCACCCACCAACACCACCGTTAGCTCGCTCCGCTAGCTGAACTTCGCTCTACGAGAAACTGCAACATCAAGTGTCCCCTTTGCACTTGGACCCATGACCCCCCTCCTGGGACGACGGTGGTGACACAGTGGCCCAATGGTAGCTCAACGGTGGGCCAGTGGTGGGCGAGCGGTGGGCGAGCGGTGGGCGAGCGGTGGGCGAGCGGTGGGCGAGCGGTGGCCCGGTGGTGGCGCGTTGTCCACTTGTTGTGCAGGCTCGCGGGTCGAGTCGGGCGGTCGCCCGGGTTAATGCTGCGCTCGTGCGCGGCACTAGCCGTGACAGTGCCACTGCGCACAGTCTGCTTCACTTGCAAAGAGGAGGCCTTTGTGTGCCGGCGTCACGAACCAGATTTTCCAACATTTTAAAATTTCCACTGCACGCACAGCAGCAGTCATCGCTCCACCCCCCCCCCCTGTACTGGCAGCAGACTCATGCCCCCCCCCACTACCAGACCCCACCCCCCACCCCCCCCCGTCCACTGTCGGGGTCCGTCGGGGCCCATCGGGTTCAGGTGGGGTCCAAGCCACAGTTGCGTGTCCTTACTGGGTGGTCCTGACCGTGCTCTCGGCGTCGTGACGCGGTTTACCCGGCGAAGTCTCCTGACTTTTTTTTTAAGGAGGTTCATGGCAAGTGTTTGTCCCAACAGTCTGTGTGGGCTACACGGGGGATCTTTGGTACATCCAGGGCCGTGTGGAGCACATTCTGTGTGGCTGTGTGTTCATGTGGTGGTGAGGTCATGATAACGCGGTTGTGGTGGTTGTGGTGCTTGTGATGATGGTGGTGGTTGTGGTTGTGGTGGTGGTTAGATCCAGGGCTGTGTGGACCACGTGTGTGTACGTGGCTGTGTTGGTGTGGTGGTTAGGTAGTGGTAACACGGTTGTGGTTCTGGTGGTGGGGAGCGGTAGTGTAGCAGTTAGTGCGCTGCACTACGAACCCGGCAACCCGATTTCGATTCCTGCTCACGGCCAACATCGCCAACAATTATCTGAATCAACCATGGGCCTCCTCCTAAGTCGAATCGGCCTCAAATGAGTGCCTGGTGTGACGTGTGAAACTTTGTCACTGGGGAGACAATGGTGCTCGCTAACAGCACTTGCCCCAACAGTGTGTTAAGGTTATACGGCGGATCTGTGTCTTTGTTTGGTGGTGGTTAGATCCAGGGCCGTGTGGACGACGCCCTGCACGAGATGTCCAAGTCGCTCGTCTCCCTGCCGCCCGGCAGCTCCTACCTCACTCGGCTGCCCGAGCAAGGCCTGTCAGCGGAGGCCGTCATCTCCGCCCTCCGCCCATACAAGGAAATGGGTGCGGGTCACCGGGGTCACTACGTCACCCGGTCACTACGTCACCCGGTCACTACGTCACCCGGTCACTACGTCACCGGGTCACTACGTCACCCGGTCACTATGTCACCGGGGTCACTACGTCACCAGGTCACAGTATTGACAGGTTACTGGGTCATGGGGCTACCAGGTGGTGGAGTCACAAGGTTAGCTGGGTCACTGGGTCGCAGGGTCATCGCAGCGACTAGTTACGGTGTGTTGTACGTACCGCATTGTATATAGCATGGTGTATGTACCACGTCTCCTTGTCGTACTCCCCTTCCGGGGTGGAATATGTGGTATATTTTTCCATGTGTTCTCAATGTACGTGTGTTTGCAGTCTGTGTGTGTGTGTGTACATGTGTAGGGTAGTGGTAAGCACCCTGCGCTATGAACCCGGCAACCCGAGTTTGATTTCCGCTCACGGGAATCACCAGTGACGATTATCTGAACCGGTCCTGGGCTGACGAGGCCGACTCGGCCTCAAATAATACGTGGTGCGATGTGTAAACATTGCTGTTGGCGAGACAAAGGCAGCCGGTCATGGTGCTGCTGGTTAACCACCCCCTCGTGTGTCATGCCGGCCTTCATAGGTGCTGCTCGCTAAAAACACTTGCCCCAACAATCTATGCTATACGGGGGATTTTTGTACGCACATGCACCTATCTTTGTATATGTGTTTATGAGTGTGTGCGTCTACGCCTCTTTGTGTGTGCGTGTGGGGAGCGGTGGCACGTTTTTAGCGCGCTGCGCTATGAACTCGGCGACCTGAGTTCGATTCCCGCTCACGGCCAACATCGGTAAGAATGATCTGTACCGGTCCTGGGCTTCCCCTAGTGTCGAATCAGCCTCAAATGAGTACCTGGTGTGATGTGTGAAACATCGGCACTTAAGAGACAAAGGCGACTGGGCGTGGTGCTGGCCACGCACACCCTCGTGTGCCATGCCGGCCTTCATAAGTGCTCGCTAACAGCACTTGCCCCAACAGTATGTTAAGGATATACGGGGTATCTTTGTTTGTGTGCGCACACAGGCAACGCTGATTGGAAGCAGGGCTTTGTGTCCGGCACTGTTTACCATGGGGAGGATAAACTCACAGAGCTCCTAGTCAAGGTGAGTGCATCAGTGCTACCCGTGATGAGTGGTTGACGCATTGCCGTGGTGCCTGGTTGCCATGGTGAATGGTTCTGGCGATTTAGTGGTTGTCATGGTTACATGTTGTCGTGATGATGAGTCATTGCCGTTGTCATGGTGAGGGATTGCACTGGTGAGTGGTTGAGGCACTCCCATGGTGACTGTTACCATGGCAACTCATTGCTGCGGCAAGTGGTTGTCGTGGTGGGTCGTTGCCATGGAGGGTGGTTGCCGTGGTGAATGGTTACCATGGTGACGTGCTGGTTGCTAGGCGTACGGGGAGTTTGCGTGGTCCAACCCGCTGCACCCGGACGTGTTCCCGGGCGTCCGCAAGATGGAGGCCGAGATCGTGGCCATGAGCCTCGACTTGTTCCACGGAGGGCCCGAGGCCTGCGGCACGGTACCCTCCCCCGCCCTCCCCCTCTCTCCCCTGCACTTGCCTGCACTCCCCCACTCGCACTCCCCCACTCGCACTCCCCCACTCGCACTCCTCCACTCGCACTCCCCCACTCGCACTCCCCCACTCGCACTCCCCCACTCGCACTCCCCCACTCGCACTCCCCCACTTGCACTCCCCCACTCTCCCCTGAACTCCGCCACTCTCCCCCACTCACACTCCCCCGCTCTCCCCCTCTCTCCCCCGCTCTCCCCTGCACTCCCCCTCTCTCCCCCACTCACACTCCCCCGCTCTCCCCCACTCACACTCCCCCACTGTCCCCCACTCACACTCCCCCAATCTCCCCCACTCACACTCCCCCACTCACACTCCCCCGCTCTCCCCCACTCACACTCCCCCGCTCTCCCCACTCGCACTCCCCCACTCTCCCCCACTCACACTCCCCCACTCACTCTCCCCCACTCACACTGCCCCACTCTCCCCCACTCACACTCCCCCACTCACACTCCCCCACTCTCCCCCACTCTCCCCCACTCACACTCCCCCACTCTCCCCCACTCACACTCCCCCACTCACACTCCCCCACTCTCCCCCACTCACACTCCCCCCACTCACACTCCCCCACTCTCCCCCACTCACACTCCCCCACTCTCCCCCACTCTCCCCCACTCACACTCCCCCACTCACACTCCCCCACTCACACTCCCCCACTCTCCCCCACTCACTCTCCCCCACTCACACTCCCCCACTCTCCCCCACTCACACTCCCCCACTCACACTCCCCCGCTCTCCCCCACTCACACTCCCCCACTCTCCCCCACTCGCACTCCCCCGCTCTCTCCCTCTCTCCCCTGCACTCCCCCGCACTTGCCCGTTCTCCCCAGCTCCCCCCTCTCTCCCCTCTCTCCCCCGTACTCGCCTGCCATCTACCGTGACGTCACCGCACCTGGGAGCGAGCCTGACGCCATGCCCGCCACTAGTACCTCTACATAAGTACCTGGTGTGGTGTGAGTCGGGGACGTGCGGTCAGGGGAGGCAGGGGAGAGGCAGAGCCTCACCTGTCATACTCCAATGAAAATAGCTGTTACGAAAAGTAAAAAATAATGAAATAAAATATTTTTTTCCACTGATCTGTGTCATAAATGTAGTTTCTGTACGATTCCAATAATTTTTTGCCAAAATCGCCAGATTTGCAGAGCTCTGCTGCAAATAATGCAGGAAGAGACGAGAGGTGAGGCAGCGACGAGCTCAGCCTCCCCTCTGATTGCGCAACGCCTCAGTAACTGGATGGAGCGCGGGCAATAAACGCGTGCCTGTTACTATCTCTCTGTGTGATTACATTGGTGACATATTTTGGCTATAAAAATGATTGGAATGATACAGAAATTACACAACACACATCAGTGGAAAAATCTGAATACAGTAAAACCTTGGATTTCGAGGAGCATAGTTCGTTCCGGAAACGTGTTTGTAATCCACAGCACTCGTATACCAGTTGTGATCACGTGACGCTCGGCAGATGAAGCGTATACGTACACTGCTCGTATTGCAAGACCCTCTCGCTCGTTTATCAAATTAATATTTATTTAACATTTTTGCTCGTCTTGCAAAACACTCGCAGACCAAGTTACTCGCAATCCAAGGTTTTTATTTGTGTAATTTTTTCATTGCAGTATGACAGGTGAGGCTCTGCCTCCCCTGCCTCGCCTGACCGCACGTCCCTGGTGTGTGAGCAATAGCACCAGGGAGACAAAGGCGGTCCGGTGTGTCGCTGGCCACCCCACCCCCCTCATAGGTGTATCACTTGCTCCAACAGTCTTGCTTGGGCTACACGGGGGACCTTTGTCTTTGTCTGTGTGTGCAGGTGACGTCAGGTGGCACCGAGAGCATTCTCATGGCATGCAAGGCGTACAGAGACATGGCGCTGGCACGCGGGGTCACCCAGCCCGAGATGTACGGCAACAGCGGCGCTTGTGCCAGGCTAGGTGCACTTTGAAGCCATCACGTGAAGTGTCAAAGGCTCGCTGCTGGCAGGGGGTCACAGGACAGACCCGGGTGTCATGGGTTGACTGAGACAACTTGCACATGTACCAGCTGTGCCCCCTACTGTGCCAACTTGCTTCGTTTTAGCCCACCCCGTGCTCTGATCGTTGTTGTGAGCATCGCACCTCCGCCCTCCGTTGTTGCTGAGGGCGACTGCCTCCAACTGCCCAGCAGCGTCCTTCACGAGCCGCCTCCTCCATAGAGGCCGATCTTGACACTGCTAGTACCAGTCATATGCAGGTCCACTCAGCTCCACATCCTCCTGTACTGCATCAGCCCATCTCTTCTCTAGCCCATGCCACGCTCATTTAGCCCCAGCTCTGCAGTCAAACAGAAACTCCTTAGGCATGTCGTGGCTGGACATGCGAGTTACGTGACCGAGCCATCGCAGCCTCACCTACAAGAGGAGCCCACCAATGATGGGACTGTGTCTCTGCCCTGTGTGGTGTGTGTGGTGTGTACGTGGTGTGTGTGTGTGTACGTGGTGTGTCTGTGTACGTCGTGTGTTGTGTACATGGTGTGTGTACGTGGTGTGTGTGTACGTCGTGTGTTGTGTACATGGTGTGTGTGTGGTGAGTAGTGTTGCCCCGGAGAGCTGCCATGCTGCATTCAACAAGGCCGCTCACTACTTTGGGATGACGCTGAGACACGTGCCCCTCGACCCACGCACCATGCAGGTGGACATCAGGGTGAGCACAGCAACCACCACGGTGTGCGCGGTGGTGATGGTTGTGATGATTGTGCTCTCGATGGTGACGGTGGTGGTGGTGATGTCTGGTAGTGATGATGGTGGGTGATGTATGTATCGAACTATGCTAATCGGAGGTGCGGGGAAGGACAACAAGCTAAACACACGAAGCAGTACGAAAGACATTAGTTTACAATCTAGATGATTAAAGGGCATAACTCTTCCTGTGGCTTCATAATATCGGAAGGAAGATCATTCCGGAAGGCTGGCCAAAAAAGCCGCTGCGAGGATGACCTAAGTTCCCTTGATGGTTTATGCCCCTTGACGAGATCGGCAATGTATTGTGGGTCATTTATGACAAGCACAGTGTGTCATGAGTGCGACCTTATAATGCAGATCTGAGTTACACAAGCATGTTTACGTACGGCGCGGTATGGATGGCGAGTATCGGTGGTGTGTTCGTTACTTGGGGTGCGTGCGTTACTCGCTACGGCAGTGAGGAGCCGGAGCGAAAACGTACACGCAAACCGTGACGACGTTCTTTCGCGAACAGACTTCAAGGGTTACTGTTATTGCGCTCATTCGCCCAGGGAAACCTCGCCGAGTCTCGTGGCTCTCTGTCAGGAGGGCCCTGCCGTGTGTTCACGGCAAGGAGGCGATGCTTGCTGTTGTGCGTGCGATCACAATTGAGTACATTTGCAATGTCACAGAAACAAAAATTTACATTCTTGATGCTGGCACGCAATGGCCTACTCGCGCAAATGACGTCACGGGATCTTTAACATTCCCGATTTTTTTGCAGTTAATTTGGACCGCGGCATTATTAACCAAGGTGGCCGCTGGGATTGAACCGCTAACCTCTGCAACGAGCGGCGAGCGCGATGTTGCCGGGCTACCGTGTCACCGCGCTTCATGGCAGTGGCGGCATTTGTGTTGTAGTTGTGTTGAAGATGTTGTGTGCTGTTGGTGGTTGTGTTTTGGTGGTGGTTGTAGTGGTGGTTGTGGTGGTGTTGGTTGCGTGCAGGCTATGCGGAGAGCTATCGGCAAGAACACGGCCATGCTGGTTGGTTCAGCTCCGCAGTTTCCGCACGGGATCATCGACCCGATTGAAAAGATCTCTGCAGTGCGTGAATACACACAAACACACATGTATACGCGCAAAACAACAACAATCGCCATTCGCCACTAAGTGGCGGTGACGTTACCACGACGCTTGTGCCAGGCTATGTGCACGTTGCGGCCACGTGAAGTGTCGAACGCCCGCTGGCAGGAGGTCACGGGGCAGACCCAGGTGCTACAGGTCGACTGACTGAGATGACTGGCTGATGCACCACCTGTGCCCCCTACTTGCTGTGGTTTAGCCACCTGGCGCTCCGCTCGTTGTTGTGAGCGTCGCTCCTCCTCCCTCCGTTGTTGTTGGAGGGTGACTGCCTCCAACTACCCAGTAGCATCCTTCACAAGCCTCCTCCACAGAAGCTGATCTTGACACCGCTAGTACCAGTCATTAACAAGTCCACTCAGCTCCACATCCTCCTATACCACATCACTCCATCTCTTCTCTAGCCCATGCCACGCCCATTTAGCCCCATCTGTCCGGCCGAACAAAAGCTGTTTCGGCATGCGGTGGCTGGGCATGCGGGCTACATGACCTAGCCAACGCAGCCTTGTTTGCCGGAGGGGCTCACCGATGGGACTTTGTCCAGATCTTTCAAGGATATGTGAGCTCCTCACACAATGCAGCCTGGTTAAAACCAGGATTGATCATAGGCAGGCCAGCCTAAATGTTTCTATCTGGCGAAGATGTAAGCGTAGAGAAGGGAGGGAATGACTGTGGCCGAGAAGACCTGACGCTTCGTGTGGAGTGACAGACCAGGTAGCTTCCACGCAGCGCTACGCAACCGGTGAAAAGATAATGCCGCTCGACTGATTCGGAGTGAGACATGCTGTCAAGCCGGAGCCGGTCATGAGCACACTGCCCAGGTATGGGAAACTCTCCACTCTCTCCACAACTACCCTATCACCAATTTGGAGTTGTGGCGGTGGAGTGTCCGATGGTACAAAATTCCCAGGCAGGTGCTTAGTTTTGGTGGGGCTGATGGTAAGTCCCCACCTCTTAGTGGCAAGCTCCAGGTTCAGCAGCAACTCCTCCTCTGAGGGAGCAGTAATTACCAGATCATCGGCATACATAACGTGGTTGAGCAATAGGGAGCCATTCCTTGACCGCACCGGGGCATCGATCAGCCTCCCATTGTATCTGTACCAGATGGAAATTCCTCCGGTACAGCTATTGGAGGCTTCGCGAACTATGTGGACGAAATTGATATTCTTGGTTTTTTCGGTTTTGTCACGTAGATAGAAAACAAAAATCAAAATCGCAACACAACCGGTCTTCGTCAGGTGGAGAGAAAAGAGGGGGCAAGCCTCCAAATGTAGGCGCTTAAAAGTGCTCCAGAGTGAGTGGGCGGGGGAAAGGGCTGCGCAAGAGACAGGGGGAGAGAGATGGGGTGGGGTAGAGATGGGAGGAGGGAGGAATTGCACCTCGGTACACCCATCAGACAATGAGTGGGGAGGATTGGTGATACACAACTCCAGAGTGAGTGGGCGAGGGAAAGGGCTGCTCACGCAGGGGGGGGAGGAATGGGGATACACAAATTCCAGTGCTCCAGAGTGAGTGGGCGATGATGAAATTCTCGCTTCCAACATTCATCAGCTAGCTGAGACCATGCCACTGGGTTTGAATGGGGTCCTGGGTGTACACCCACCACCAGAGTGGAAGAATGGCAGGCGCATCTTTCAGATGACAAGTCGATGGTCAGTGGGCAGATCAGCTCCACGGTAGGTCCTGGTGTCAAGGACATGGGCTCGCATCCGCTGTTCCATCACTATGTCGTCCAGCAGATGTTCTTGCTTGGACCCGGCATGCATTCATGATGTGTGGATGCGCCGATGTCGGAACAGCGTTTTGGTAATTGCAAGCCCATGGGCTGCACAAAAATCTAGCAGCCTCCTACCGTTGTTTTTGAGCTGATCTGGCCCATGTCTTCAAATCACTCCAGACCAGGTGCTAGCATCATGACCAACTTGGGCATTGAAGTCACCCAACAAGATGACTCTATCCCGAGAGGCCACTTTCGCCAGCACCTGTGACAGGAGGTCATCGGCCTTGCCTGCATCCCTCCACGGTTGTTCGTCTTTGGTGGGGACATAAGTAACCACGACCACCACTCCTCGCCTCTGGTTGATGGGGTCATGTGTACGTAGCTGGTTGTTGTGGTCGTGTGTGTGTGTAGCTGGTTGTTGTGGTCGTGTGTGTGTGTAGCTGGTTGTTGTGGTCGTGTGTGTAGCTGGGTATTGTGGTCGTGTGTGTGTAGCTGGTTGTTGTGGTCGTGTGTGTGTGTAGCTGGGTGTTGTGGTCGTGTGTGTGTGTAGCTGGTTGTTGTGGTCGTGTGTGTGTGTAGCTGGGTGTTGTGGTCGTGTGTGCGTGTAGCTGGGTATTGTGGTCGTGTGTGCGTGTAGCTGGGTGTTGTGGTCGTGTGTGTGTAGTTGGTTGTTGTGGTCGTGTGTGTGTGTAGCTGGTTGTTGTGGTCGTGTGTGTGTAGCTGGGTGTTGTGGTCGTGTGTGTGTGTAGCTGGTTGTTGTGGTCGTGTGTGTGTGTAGCTGGGTGTTGTGGTCGTGTGTGTGTGTAGCTGGGTGTTGTGGTCGTGTGTGTGTGTAGCTGGGTGTTGTGGTCGTGTGTGTGTGTAGCTGGGTGTTGTGGTCGTGTGTGTGTGTAGCTGGGTGTTGTGGTCGTGTGTGTGTCTAGCTGGGTGTTGTGGTCGTGTGTGTGTGTAGCTGGGTGTTGTGGTCGTGTGTGTGTGTAGCTGGGTGTTGTGGTCGTGTGTGTGTGTAGCTGGGTGTTGTGGTCGTGTGTGTGTGTGTGTGTAGCTGGGTGTTGTGGTCGTGTGTGTGTGTGTGTAGCTGGGTGTTGTGGTCGTGTGTGTGTGTAGCTGGGTGTTGTGGTCGTGTGTGTGTGTAGCTGGGTGTTGTGGTCGTGTGTGTGTGTAGCTGGGTGTTGTGGTCGTGTGTGTGTGTAGCTGGGTGTTGTGGTCGTGTGTGTGTGTAGCTGGGTGTTGTGGCCGGTGTTCCCGTGCACGTGGACGCGTGTCTCGGGGGGTTCCTCATCGTCTTCATGGATGCGGCCGGCTTCCCCCTCCCTCCCTTCGACTTCCGTCTGCCTGGGGTCACCAGCATCTCTGCTGACACGCACAAGGTCTGGCCACAACACTGCCTCACCCGAACGCGGCCTCACCACAACACATTAACACAACAAGCACAATGTATATGAATGCATACGTGTGTGCATGTGGGTATGTGCGGAGGCAGGGGCGGTGGGGAGGAGTGAGGGGTGACGCAGTGGTTAGCCCGACTACGAACCCCCGCCCCCAAGTTCAATTCCTGCTCGTGGCCACCAACATCGGTGACGGCACTTTCCCCAGTGGCCCGTCGAAGGTGCCACGGTGGCTAGGAGATGTTAACTACCTCGCCTGGTATACAAGGAGGTCGTGGGTTCGATCCCGACCGTGACGCCTGCTGCTGCTGTTGTATATTTGCGCGTTCTCCCCCGTGGTCACTTGGATTTTTCCCTGGGTCCTCTGGTTTTTCCCTCCACACTTAGAATTAACATCACGCGTCCGGAGTATTTGGCTGCGATAAATTCCCACGTGATGATTCGCCACTTTGTTGAGCTGTCTTTTGTGGCCAGGTCGCTTCTGATGTGATTAAGAGCTATATAGCTCAGTGGGGCTTTCCTGGTAAAATAAAAAAAAAATAGTTTATAAGAAGGCTACATGGGAGGTCTGTGTCTGTGTCGTGTGGCAGTATGGCTATGCTCCCAAGGGCTCCTCAGTCGTCCTCTACTCGTCCCCGCTCATCCGACACTTCCAGTATTTCGTGGCCCCCGATTGGATGGGGGGAATCTACGCGTCGCCCAGCATCGCGGGGTCGCGACCCGGCGCCATCATGGCCGCTACGTGGGCCGCCATGGTGCATCATGGGAGGTCGGGATACGTGGAGGCGACTCGCAAAATCGTCACCACGGCGAGGCTGCTGGGCGAGCGGTGAGCGAGCTGGGCTGTATCACTCACCCCTCATCACTCGCCGCTCTTCGCTCGCCGCTCACCACTCATTGCTCACCGGTCACAATTCACCGCTCATCACTCGCCGCTCATCACTCGCCACTCACCGCTCACCACTCACCGCTCATCACCTACCGCTCATGACTCGCCATTCATCACTCGCCACTCACCACTCATCAATCACTTACCGCTCGTCACTTACTGCTCATCACCTACCGCTCATCACCTACCGCTCATCACTCGCCATTCATCACTCACCGCTCACCACTCACCGCTCACCGCTCATCACTTACTGCTCATCACCTACCGCTCATCACTCGCCATTCATCACTCACCGCTCACCGCTCACCACTCATCGCTCACCACTGGCCGCTCATCACTTACTGCTCAACACCTACCGCTCATCACTCACCATTCATCGCTCACCGCTCACCGCTCACCACTCACCGCTCGCCACTCGCCGCTCATCACTTACTGCTCATCACCTACCGCTCATCACTCGCCACTCATCACTCACCGCTCACCGCTCATCACTTACTGCTCATCACCTACTGCTCATCACTCGCCATTCATCACTCACCGCTCACCGCTCACCACTCACCACTCGCCGCTCATCACTTACTGCTCATAACCTACCGCTCATCACTCGGCACTAATCACTCACCATTTACCACTCGCCGCTCACCGCTCGCCGCTCACCGCTCGCCGCTCACCACTCGCCGCTCACCACTCATCACTCTCCATTCACCACTCGCCGTCACTACGGCGAGGCTACTGGGCAAGCGGTGAGCGAGCTGGGCTGTATCACTCACCACTCCTCACTCACCACTCCTCACTCACCACTCATCACTTAATGTCACCAAGGCTAGGCTGCTAGGCAAGCGGTGAGTGAGGTAGCGTCCACCGCTCACCGCTCATCATCACCACTTCAGTTCAGCTTGAGCCCACGACTAAATATCTGAACTGGATCTGGGCATCTCCCCTAGGTCGACTCGGCCTTAAATGATTACCTGACGTGGGGCGTTGTAAACATTGGAAGACAAAGGCGGCCGGCCATGGTTCTGGCCACACCATCTCCTTGTGCGCCAATGCCGGCCTTCATCGGTGCTGATAATCGCCAAAACAGCACTTGCCCCAACAGTGTGTGAGAGGCTTTGCGGGGGACCTTTGTCTTTGTGAAGGCTGCGCACGGTGCCTGGGCTCTATGTGTTCGGGGAGCCACTCGTCTCCGTCGTGGCTGTCGGCTCGCATGACTTTGACATCTTTCGCCTGTCGGACGCGCTGATGGTGCGAGGATGGCACCTCAACACCCTGCAGTTTCCCTCCAGGTACACAGACTCGAACACACACACACACGCAGCACCCTGCAGTTCCCCTCCAGGTGCACACATGCAGCAGGTACACACACACACACAGCACCCTGCAGTTCTTCTCCAGGTGCACACATGCAGCAGGTACACACACACACACACAGCACGTGTGCACACACACACAGCACCCTGCAGTTCCCCTCCTGGTACACACCCACAGCACCCTGCAGTTCTCCTCCAAGCACACACATGCAGCAGGCACACACACACACAGCACGTGTGCACGCACACAGCACCCTGCAGTTCCCCTCCAGGTGCACACATGCAGCAGGTACACACACACAGCACCCTGCAGTTCTTCTCCAGGTGCACACATGCAGCAGGTACACACACACACACAGCACGTGTGCACACACACACAGCACCCTGCAGTTCCCCTCCAGGTACACACGCATGTAGCCTGTACACATACACGCAGCCTGTACACACACATATACTCACACCCTTCTCGATGTCCTTCCCCCACACCTCCAAATAGCACGGTTGGCTACATACGATCCAAAAGAGTGTTTAACATACAACGTTCAAGATACATACATGTTTTTGTGACCACATTACACACAGATGGACGGACAGAACGACAGATGGATGGACGGAGGGACTGAGTGACAGACGGACAGGCGAATGGGCTGACGGATGTGTAGTGGATTCAGCTGAGTCGCAGACTTTCTCTTTGGAGGCAACACACATTTATTATTCACCAACACATGACACGGAAGGGTTACTGCCCTTCCACCAGATAACCTACGGTGGTGGACCACCAGGCTAACTACGCTAACACACGGGGAGTTTAGCTATCACGAACGAGACCCAGGCTTGGGTCCTCGCCACATGTTGGTGACTTCTTCTTGGACGAGGTAGAACGTAGATCGTAGATCTTCAGATGACAGTAGCAACGCTGAGCCCCGGGTCCCCCCCGGGGATCGCGCTTAGATGCTCCCGGGCCGTGACCGGCCCCGCCCTTGGCTACGCCCACCTTCGAGAGAGCTCTGGCTCGCTCTCTCAACCGTTCTCGTTGGATCTTACCCAGTCACGTGAGCACCCCCTAGCCCCCACTTGGGGCCTCTGTGTAGATCTTACTTGTCACGTGACTTCCAAGGCTAACCAGAGGTGCCATGGTGCAGGGCAACCTCTACCCGTGGCTGACACTCTCTCACTCCCTGCGGTGGGAGTCAGCGCTGCGCGCCGCGCGTGGTGCCCGTGCGCGATCCCGGCGCTCTCGGAGCCGCCTCTAGGGCTGGTGCTACACCCACCTACGGCGTGCCCGCGATGCCGGTGCATCGCACGCCGTGCCTCGCTCGAGCCGGCGGCATCACTAAGTGACACTCACGGCGTCGCCACGTACGTGATGCCCGCGATGCGAGTACATCGCACGCCGTGCCTCTCTAGTGCCGGCATCGTGCGGTGACATTCGCGACGTCACTACAGATGGATAGACGGGGAAAGTTATGGACGTATGGATGGATGCATACTCTTTGGTTCTTTCGGTAAAGTCACGTAGGTATAAAATAAAATCAAAGAAATCACGACGTTTCGGGCGCAACACAAGCGTCGGTCATCGGGTGGAACAACCACAGCAAGAAACAACTGCGCCCGAAACGTCGTGATTTAATTTAATTTATTTTATACCTACGTGACTTTACCGAAAGAGCCATAGAGTATGGATCCCTGCAGTCGCGAAAACTTCAAATCTAGATTGGATAGATGGATGGGCAAATGGACAGACAGGCAGATGGACAGACCAACAGACGGATAGACGGATGAAGTGACGAACAGATGGACAGATGGAGACGGACAGGCGGACGTACGGATGGACGGACAACAATTAGTTGTTTTTCCCGCAGCATCCACATCGCGGTGACGCTGCTGCACACGCGCCCCGGCATCGCCGAGAAGCTGCTGGGTGACATCACGAGCTGCGTGGCCGAGATCATGCTCACCCCTACCGCCAAGACCACGGGCAAGGTGCGTCCTCCACTACCGCCACGAGCATCACCACCATCACTACTGCCACCACCAGCACCATCACTACCATCATTAATACCATTACTACCACCACCATCATCATTACTACCACCAGCACCAACAGCACCACCATCACTACGACCACTGCTATCGCTACCAGCACCGCCACCAGCACCACAATTACCTCCATCATCACGGTCACTCACACTGACAGCACCACCATCACTACGACCACTGCTATCGCTACCAGCACCGCCACCAGCACCACAATTACCTCCATCATCACGGTCACTCACACTGACATCGCCACCATCGCCAGCACGACCACAACACACACACCACCACCACCACTTGGTTTGTCTTTGTCAGAGGAGTGACGCAGCGCTTCGTGCACTGCTCTACAAACCCGGCAACCCAAGTTTTATTCCCGCTCACGGCCAACACCAGTGACGATTACCTGAACCGGTCTTGGGCCTCTCCTAGGTCGACTCAGCCTCAATTGAGTACCTGGTGCAGTGTGTAAACATTAACACGAGGGCGACAAAGGCGGCCGGGCGTGGTGCTGGCCACCCACCCCTTTGTGTGCCGCTAACAGCACTTGCCTCACCAGTGCGTTGATGGCTACGCGGGGGATCTTTGTCTCTGTGCCCAGGGAGCCATCTATGGGATGGCCCAATCGATCCCGGACCGCTCGCTCATCACCGAGATCACGCACGGCTTCCTTGACTGCATGTTCTCCACCCGCCTCCCCGAGCCTTCTCAGCGCCTCCACAACTCGCCCGGCACTCAGTGACACCCAGCGACACACCACCCATCGATGGCACACCCAGCGATGGCACACCCAGCGATGGCACACCCAGCGATGGCACACCCAGCGATGGCACACCCAGCGATGGCACACCCAGCGATGGCACACCCAGCGATGACACACCCAGCGAAGGCACACCCATCGATGGCACACCCAGCGATGGCACACCCAGCGAAGGCACACCCAGCGATGACACACCCAGCGATGGCACACCCAGCGACAGTGACACACCGACACTCAATGGCACACCCAGTGACAGTGACACACTCATTGACCGGGACTCAGTGGTACATTCATTGACACAGTGACAATCAGTGACACACTCGGTGATGCATAGCATCAAACGCACAACATACAGCACGCGACATGGGGCGCACGCAACATGAAACTCACAACGCGGGACGCAAGAGGAAACTTGACTCTCACCCCTACTTGACTGTGGGTGAATGTGGGGGGGGCTGTGGGCGAATGTGGGGGCCACTGTAACCACTTTGTATGTGGGAATTGAACCACTGAGCAGGTGAATTGGTCTTGGCGTCAGTGTGGGGGCCACTTGGGAGGGCAGGAACCCCCACCCCTTTTCACGGTACGTGTCGCTCTGTGACATTTGACCTTTAAACGATTAACCCCCTGCGCTGCTGCCCCCCTGCTCTGCTGCTTGAATGAAAACCCTCGCAACCCTGACCCGCTAATCTTTATTCCTAAACCCCCCCTCTGTATCCATGAGCCCTAATCCGTGACCCCGAACACCTGGACTGGTAAATCCCTATCAATGACCATTAAACCCCCGTCCCTATTCAACCCCGATGTCTGACCCCCTTAGCCCCTAGTACTTATTTTAACGTTTATGTCACGATGGAACCACGAGGCTTGATTTTGTGTTTTGTAATTACAGCTCGTTTCTCAATGCACAGGAGCGTGGCGTGTCCGTGTGTCCACGTGTGCCTGTGTGCGTGGTACTCTGGGCGTGAGTCGGAGAAAGTGGAGGCGTCTCCATACCTGGGTTTGGCAGCAGAGGTCTCACTCCGAATCAGTCGGACGGCATCACCTTTTCGTCAGCTTTATGTATGTTTGTTGAACTTCTTTCAAAACATATGTAGCCAACCATGCTAATCGGAGGTGCAGGGAAAGGACAACAAACTAAACACAAAAAGATGCATAACTCTGTATGGAAGCTAGCTGGCCTGTTGCTCCACACGAAGTTTTGGTTATTTTCAGCCAGTCATGCCCTTCCCTCCCTTTGTGAAACATGGATCCCTCTGAAAGAACACCTGCACCAGTGTGAAACATTAATCCATAATACAGGTTTTTTAGGTTATATCGTGTAAATATAAATGTGTTGTTAAACCCGCCACCACCCGACACAGCCAATTAGTAAAGTTTGTCATGTAAACAGAACATGCCAAGTCGTTCTAATACAGCACACCGGTGTACGACGTTTTGCCAGTAATTACAACGAGCATCATCAGGCGGGATAGCCTGATGATTCAGGCTAGCCTACCTATGATCCATCCTGGGTTTAACCAGGCTGGAGTGTGTGAGGTGCTTGCAAATCCTTGAAAGATCTGGACACATTTCCATCATGGAGCTGCTCCAGCAGGCGAGACTGCGTTGGCTGGGTCATATCGCCCGCATGTCCAGGCATCGCATGCCCAAGCAGCTTTTTTTTGTCTGGTTAGAGGAGGCTAAACGGACACAGAATGGGCTAGAGAATAGATGGGCCGATGTGGTACAGAAGCATGTGGGGCTGAGTGGACTTGCCGATTACTGGTACCAGTCATCGGCAAGTGGAGGAGGCTCGTGAAGGATGCTCCTGGGCAGCTGGACGGAGGACAGATGGTGCATCTGCCATTCATCTCGGTCAACTCATTGCACCTGGGTCTGTTCTGTGAGCTGCTAGTGAGCCTTTGACACTTCACGTAACCTCGGTGCACCTAACCCGGCACAAGCGCTGTGGTGACATCACTGTCACTTAGTGCCGAATGGCGTTTGATATATGTGTTGTGTATGGTGTGGGTGGTGTATTCTTGCCTGCTGTCCCCAAGAAGAGACCTCAGAAAGCTGCAGAAAGTTTACGCTCAAGTGACTGATCTTTATTACAAAAAACCCAACAACTCTTAGAATAAAAGTAACTTTCCATGGGGCATGGGGGGGAGCTCATAATGGGCATGGGGGGGGAGCTCGTGATGTGTGTGACGTGCTATGCGTTGAGTGCGACGTGCGGTGTGCTACGCGTGGTATGCTGCCTGCTACGCGTGGTGCTCGTGGAGTTGCGACGTCGCAGCCACGTGGAAGTGCGTGGCCCTGCGCGCCGTCATGCAGCGCAGCGTGGTGAAGGCAAGAACGAGCTGCGTGGCCAGCAGCAGAGCGAGCACGGACAGCACCCCGACCTGAGCCCCATGCAGAGGCACCGTATCCCTGCCCAGCAGCAGCTGCAGCAACAGCAGTGGCGTCTGCAGCAGTAGGGACAGCAGCCAGAATCCAGCCAGCTCGGGCACCTACACACACAGTATACCACACCGCGGGATGAGCACCTCACCACTCACAGCACATTACAGCACATCACACCGTGGGATGAGCACCTCACCACTCACAGCACATCACACCACATCACACCAAGGGGTGAGCACCTCACACGTACAACACAACACCAAGGGGTGAGCACCTCACAGCATACCACACAACGGGGTGAGCACCTCACACGCAGCACACCACACCAAGGGGTGAGCACCTCACACAGCACACCACACAACGGGGTGAGCACCTCACACGCAGCACACCACATCACACAAAGGGGTGAGCACCTCACAGCACACCACACAACGGGGTGAGCACCTCACACTCGCACCACACCAAGGGGTGAGCACCTCACACTCGCACCACACCAAGGGGTGAGCACCTCACACTCGCACCACACCAAGGGGTGAGCACCTCACACTCACACGCAGCACACCACATGGTGAGCTTCCGACACACACAGCACACACCAACACCACACCACGGGGTGAGTACCTGGCACACCGCACTCCCATGCAACACTCTCAAGCGGTTCAGGAATGTGCTGGTATGCGACTGCGACGCCATGCCAGCACTTCTCAGAACGAGAAGCAGGCCGAAGTAGGAGGATGCAGGGTGAAGCAGAAGGAAGCAGCAGCTGGGAGAAGTGGCTGAGAAGAGCGAGAGGAGCCAGCAGCAGGAGGGAGGAGCAGCAGGAAGCAGCAGCAGCAGCAGGGAGAAGTGGCAGGGTGGAACAGGAGGGAGCAGGGAGGAATTGAAAGCAGGTAGTGGCAGGGAGGAGCAGCGGGTACCTTCTCGCCCAGGTTCCCCGCGTAGCCCAGGTAGAGGCGGCTCATCTCGATGACGGCCATGAAGACGAGCACCGTGGTGAGCACCACAGCGTAGTGCGTGGCCAAGTATGGGTACTGTACACACACACACACAAAGGTCCCCCCCGTGTGTAGCCTTAGCTGGCTGTTGGGGCAAGTGCAGTTAGCGAGCACCGCTGATGGTCATTAGGTTGTTCACTGTGGTAATAATTCCCCGTCGTGGGAGTGATAATGATGTTAGCATCGCTGATAGACCAAACCAATCGCAGCGGAAGAAGTTTGGCAGGCTGGAACAAACCGATTTAACCACAAGAAAGATGAGGCGCGTCACATCTACAAACGCGCTCTCGGCCTAGATGCAGACCACCAGCTCAAGAGAACTGAACATGTTGCAAACATTGGTGACTGTACTGATGAGTCATAATTACGCTGAAACCTATCAACAATTGTCCGATGCACTGCTGCCTGTTGTTGGGATGGCCACGTGTTCTCATCTCTGAGTCGGTGGTTCGAAACGACATTGCCACGCCTCCAGTTCCGTTGAGCTGGTGGTCTGAATAAGGCCGAGCGAGAGCCGTTGCGTATGCAATGCTGCGCACACGCATGTGCGCGTTGAATCTGTTGCCGATGAGCGCCAATGTGTGTGGCAATTATCGTGCAACGCCTCCGACGGTGTCGGTGCCGGTGGTGAATTTGATGGGCTGCGATTGTCGGGTGTTGGACGGTGTCCGGTGTCTGTTGATGCCATCACCTTGGTAGCCAGCATCACGGCCTCCGAGGTCACCCAACACGGATAATAGAACGCGCTGAAGTATAGCGACATCTGCAGGGGCAGGCTGCTCACGACCACCGTGCCTGGGCAAGGGCGGCACGGCACACCACATCACGTAGACATCCAGCTACGGACTGTGGCTACTCATAGTCACAATATTCGGCGATCATTTGAGCGCTGGAACATGAGAAACGCATGTTATCTGAATCTGGTCTTAAATCATGAACTGCGGCAAGTTGTTCAGGGCCTCGCACAGTCCCGCTGTGGCGTAGTCACGACATTCGCGTATCAGGTGGAGCCTCAATAATGTACAGTATTGTGATTTATCTCGCAAGTTTGCACCTTGAGGCTATTATACATCGCGGCTCGTCTTGCCTCATCGCATCATTGTTACGCTCGCGGTCCCGGACATTTAACGCTTTAGGCGCGCTCCGTCTTCGCAAAATGCAGCCACTACAGATCCTTCGTTGTACCTCTGTGCAATGTAATTGACGCGTATGGAATGAAATCAATATCTACGTGAAATATTTTTTTTTAAATGAATTTGAACCGCGTTTTAAATACGTTTTTGTTCCTTTTGCACTGTGGTTGAAAACAACTCACTGTTGTTGAAAACATCTCACTGTGATTGAAAACATCTCACTGTGGTTGAAAACATCTCACTGTGATTGAAAACATCTCACTTGTTGAAAACATCTCACTGTGATTGAAAACATCTCACTGTGATTGAAAACATCTCTCTGTTGTTGAAAACATCTCACTGTGGTTGAAAACATCTCACTGTGGTTGAAAACATCTCACTGTGGTTGAAAACATCTCACTGTGATTGAAAACATCTCACTGTGGTTGAAAACATTTCACTGTTGTTAAAAACAACTAACTGTGGTTGAAAACATCTCACTGTGGTTTAAAACATCTCACTGTGATTGAAAACATCTCACTGTTGTTGAAAACATCTCACTGTTGTTGAAAACATCTCACTGTGATTGAAAACATCTCACTGTTGAAAACATCTCACTGTGGTTGAAAACATCTCTCTGTGGTTGAAAACATCTCACTGTTGAAAACATCTCACTGTGGTTGAAAACATTTCACTGTGATTGAAAACATCTCTCTATTGTTGAAAACATCTCACTGTTGTTGAAAACATCTCACTGTGGTTGAAAACATCTCACTGTGGGTGAAAACATCTCACTGTGGGTGAAAACATCTCACTGTGATTGAAAACATTTCACTGTGATTGAAAACATCTCTCTGTTGTTGAAAACATCTCACTTTTGTTGAAAACATCTCACTGTTGTTGAAAACATCTCACTGTTGTTGAAAACATCTCACTTTTGTTGAAAACATCTCACTGTGGTTGAAAACATCTCACTGTGATTGAAAACATCTCTCTGTTGTTGAAAACATCTTACTGGTTGAAAACATCTCATTGTGGTTGAAAACATCTCACTGTGATTGAAAACATCTCACTGTGGTTGAAAACATCTCACTGTTGTTGAAAACATCTCACTGTGATTGAAAACATCTCACTGTGGTTGAAAAATCTCACTGTGGTTGAAAACATCTCATTGTGGTTGAAAACATCTCACTGTGGTTGAAAACATTTCACTGTGGTTGAAAACATCTCACTGTGATTGAAAACATCTCACTGTGGTTGAAAACATTTCACTGTGGTTGAAAACATCTCACTGTGATTGAAAACATCTCACTGTGGTTGAAAACATCGCATTGTGGTTGAAAACATCTCACTGTGGTTGAAAACATTTCACTGTTGTTGAAAACATTTCACTGTTGTTGAAAACATCTCACCGTGGTTGAAAACATCTCACTGTGGTTGAAAACATTTCACTGTTGTTGAAAACATCTCACCGTGGTTGAAAACATCTCACCGTGGTTGAAAACATCTCACTGTTGTTGAAAACATCTCACTGTGGTTGAAAACAACTAACTGTGGTTGAAAACATCTCACTGTGGTTGAAACCAACTAACTGTGGTTGAAAACATCTCACTGTGGTTTAAAACATCTCACTGTGGTTGAAAACATCTCACTGTGATTGAAAACATCTCACTGTGATTGAAAACATCTCACTGTTGTTGAAAACATCTCACTGTGGTTTAAAACATCTCACTGTGGTTTAAAACATCTCACTGTGGTTGTCAATGGAGCCCCAGCTTTAGCCACCAGGGGGGGCAAGGCACCCCCAGCCCCCACGCAAGTTACGCTACTGGGGCCCCCACAATGATCTGCGGACGGGAGAATGAGGGCCCCACGGGGCATTCTCCGGGAACCTCTGAGCGGACCTGACATCATTATCACCACTACTACCACCACCATCATCACTTCGGCCACAGCCATCAACTGTGCACCACTAGCAACACCATCACCCACGCACCGCCACTACATTTACACCACCATTACGAGATGCACTGCCCTTATAATCCTAAAATGACGGTAACTCTCCACGCGCCACACAGGGTCCTCGCCCACCATCCAAACCGAGCCCCGCGCGCCTGAGCGGGCATCGCCAGTAGGCCGCAGGGGGTTGGGAAGCGAGTGCGGGGGTCGCAGCCGGGCCCCTCACACACCCCGTGCCGCGTTGCTCTCTGTACCTCTCCGCAATTCCCGGCTCTCATTCCTCCCACTGACATCGCAAAAAAAGGATCGGGGGATTAAATCCCACGGGGAAGAGACTCCAACCGTGACACCCCCACCCCCTGCAGCCTAGTGACGCTGCCCAGGGAGTCAAAGGCATCCCGGTAGGAAATCTAGGCGAAGGCGGTGAGGCAGGGGGCGGGCGAGGGAATGAGAGACGCCGTCTGGTTACCGGCACGCTCCGGGGATGCGGTCTCCCTGCCGCTGAACACCGCGTGGCTGAACGAGGTGAGGCGCTCCCGGACCCGGCTTGGTAACGGCGAGTATGGGATTCCCGCATTCGCGGCCATGGCTGGGTACCCCGCGCCCAGCTGACGCGCGGCGTCACCGTGGCGACGACGGGGCCGCGAGCGGCCTCGATTATCGCGATATTGCGATTATCGCGATGCTCATACGGCGTCACGATATCGCGATTATCGCGATATTCTAACGGTGTCACGATATTGCGATTATCGCGATATTCAAACGGTGTCGCGATTACCGCGTTATTCGACGGTGTCGCGCTTATCGCGATATTCGAACGGTATCGCGATATAGCGATTATCGCGATATCCAAAACGATGTCGCGATATTGCAACTATCGCGATATTCAAACGGTGTAGGGATATTGTTATTATCGTGATATTGCTATTATCGCGATATCCAAACGATGTCGCGATATTGCGATTATCACGATATTCAAACGGTGTCGCGATTACCACGTTATTCGACGGTGTCGCGCTTATCGCGATATTCGAACGGTATCGCGATATAGCGATTATCGCGATATCCAAAACGATGTCGCGATATTGCAACTATCGCGATATTCAAACGGTGTAGGGATATTGTTATTATCGTGATATTGCTATTATCGCGATATCCAAACGATGTCGCGATATTGCGATTATCACGATATTCAAACGGTGTCGCGATTACCGCGTTATTCGACGGTGTCGCGCTTATCGCGATATCCGAACGGTATCGCGATATTGCGATTATCGCGATATCCAAAACGATGTCGCGATATTGCAACTATCGCGATATTCAAACGGTGTAGGGATATTGTGATTATCGTGATATTGCGATTATCGCGATATCCAAACGATGTCGCGATATTGCGATTATCACGATATTCAAACGGTGGCACGATATTGCGATTGTCGCGATATTCAAACGTTGTCGCGATATTGCGATTATCGCGATACTCAAACGGTGTCGCCATATTGCGATTATCGCAATATTCAACGGTCGCGATATCCAAACGGTGTCGCGATATTGCGATTATCGCGATATGCAAGTGGCACGATATTGCGATTATCGCGATATTCAAACGGTGTCGCGATTACCGCGTTATTCGACGGTGTCGCGCTTATCGCGATATTCGAACGGTATCGCGATATAGCGATTATCACGATATCCAAAACGATGTCGCGATATTGCAACTATCGCGATATTCAAACGGTGTAGGGATATTGTTATTATCGTGATATTGCTATTATCGCGATATCCAAACGATGTCGCGATATTGCGATTATCACGATATTCAAACGGTGTCGCGATTACCACGTTATTCGACGGTGTCGCGCTTATCGCGATATTCGAACGATATCGCGATATAGCGATTATCGCGATATCCAAAACGATGTCGCGATATTGCAACTATCGCGATATTCAAACGGTGTAGGGATATTGTTATTATCGTGATATTGCTATTATCGCGATATCCAAACGATGTCGCGATATTGCGATTATCACGATATTCAAACGGTGTCGCGATTACCGCGTTATTCGACGGTGTCGCGCTTATCGCGATATCCGAACGGTATCGCGATATTGCGATTATCGCGATATCCAAAACGATGTCGCGATATTGCAACTATCGCGATATTCAAACGGTGTAGGGATATTGTGATTATCGTGATATTGCGATTATCGCGATATCCAAACGATGTCGCGATATTGCGATTATCACGATATTCAAACGGTGGCACGATATTGCGATTGTCGCGATATTCAAACGTTGTCGCGATATTGCGATTATCGCGATACTCAAACGGTGTCGCCATATTGCGATTATCGCAATATTCAACGGTCGCGATATCCAAACGGTGTCGCGATATTGCGATTATCGCGATATGCAAGTGGCACGATATTGCGATTATCGCGATATTCAAACGGTGTCGCGATTACCGCGTTATTCGACGGTGTCGCGCTTATCGCGATATTCGAACGGTATCGCGATATAGCGATTATCACGATATCCAAAACGATGTCGCGATATTGCAACTATCGCGATATTCAAACGGTGTAGGGATATTGTTATTATCGTGATATTGCTATTATCGCGATATCCAAACGATGTCGCGATATTGCGATTATCACGATATTCAAACGGTGTCGCGATTACCACGTTATTCGACGGTGTCGCGCTTATCGCGATATTCGAACGGTATCGCGATATAGCGATTATCGCGATATCCAAAACGATGTCGCGATATTGCAACTATCGCGATATTCAAACGGTGTAGGGATATTGTTATTATCGTGATATTGCTATTATCGCGATATCCAAACGATGTCGCGATATTGCGATTATCACGATATTCAAACGGTGTCGCGATTACCGCGTTATTCGACGGTGTCGCGCTTATCGCGATATCCGAACGGTATCGCGATATTGCGATTATCGCGATATCCAAAACGATGTCGCGATATTGCAACTATCGCGATATTCAAACGGTGTAGGGATATTGTGATTATCGTGATATTGCGATTATCGCGATATCCAAACGATGTCGCGATATTGCGATTATCACGATATTCAAACGGTGGCACGATATTGCGATTGTCGCGATATTCAAACGTTGTCGCGATATTGCGATTATCGCGATACTCAAACGGTGTCGCCATATTGCGATTATCGCAATATTCAACGGTCGCGATATCCAAACGGTGTCGCGATATTGCGATTATCGCGATATGCAAGTGGCACGATATTGCGATTATCGCGATATTCAAACGGTGTCGCGATTACCGCGTTATTCGACGGTGTCGCGCTTATCGCGATATTCGAACGGTATCGCGATATAGCGATTATCGCGATATCCAAAACGATGTCGCGATATTGCAACTATCGCGATATTCAAACGGTGTAGGGATATTGTTATTATCGTGATATTGCTATTATCGCGATATCCAAACGATGTCGCGATATTGCGATTATCACGATATTCAAACGGTGGCACGATATTGCGATTGTCGCGATATTCAAACGTTGTCGCGATATTGCGATTATCGCGATACTCAAACGGTGTCGCCATATTGCGATTATCGCAATATTCAACGGTCGCGATATCCAAACGGTGTCGCGATATTGCGATTATCGCGATATGCAAGTGGCACGATATTGCGATTATCGCGATATTCGAACGGTATCGCGATATTGCGATTATCGCGTTATTCAAACGGTGTCGCGATTATCGCGATATTCGAACGGTATCGCGATATTGCGATAATCGCGAAATCCAAACGATGTCGCGACTATCGCGATATCCAAACGGTGTAGCGATATTGCGATTATCGCGATATTGCGATTATCGCTATATTCAACCGGTGGCACGATTATCGCGATATTCGAGCGGTATCGCGATATTGCTATTATCGCGATATTCAAACGATGTCGCGATATTGCGATTATCGCAATATTCAAACGGTGTCGCGATATTGCGATTATCGCGATATTCGAACGATGCCGCGATATTCAAACGGTATCGAGATATTGCGATTATCGCGATATTCAAACGGTGCCGTGATATTGCGATTATCGCGATATTCAAACGGTGTCGCCATATTGCGATTATCGCAATATTCAACGGTCGCGATATCCAAACGGTGTCGCGATATTGCGATTATCGCGATATTCAAACGGTGGCACGATATTGCGATTATCGCGATATTCAAACGGTGTCGCCATATTGCGATTATCGCAATATTCAACGGTTGCGATATCCAAACGGTGTCGCGATATTGCGATTATCGCGATGTCGGTTTGCCACGAGATCGGCAGTACGTTGAACTCCGATTTAAAGCTTTCGTGACCGCAGGGATTCATATTATTGGTTCTTTTGGTAAAGTCACGGAGAAGGGAAATAATAAAAATAAAACAATAAAACAATAAAATTCTCACGACGTTTCGATTGCAACACAAGCAATCATCATCAGGCGTGAAAACCACAGCAATATTTTTTTTTTAAGTGGCGTATTATTATTTTCCTTCTACGTGACTTTACCGAAAGAACCAACAAGAGCACGTTGAACTCCGTTCGTCCTTTACGTAACAAACCGCGCTAATCGGACGTGCGCGGGGGATGGAGGGGCACAACACACCAAAACACGAAACTCGGCTCTAAATAAATGAAGGCATCGACCGAGATGATTTAAAAGCGCGCCGTCGCTCCAGTGCCTTTCCTCGTATCGGAAGAGCGTTCCAGACGGCCGCATCTCGTTCAGCAGTGGCGTTTGCTTGGACCGAATGCCAGTCGCTGAATGTCGAAACCCGGGTCAGCTGCTTGCGTTGAACCAAAGCTGCTGAGACCCACACTGCAGCAGCTGATGGGATGTGTAAAATACTTTAGGGGCCCGTCCATAAATGACGTCACGCGATTTTGGAGGATTTTTGACCCCCCCCCCAACTTCGTCACACGGCGTCACAAAAAGTCAGAGCCCCCCCTCAAATATGACGTCACAAAGCTCTGCCTCCCTCCCCCCCCCAAAACAATAAAACGTGCTTCAAATCGCTTTAAACTATCGTCATTGTAGTGCGGTATTTAATGTGGCGCTGTACTCTAATGTCGTAGGAGAAAACATTTATAAAAAAAAGTATATTTAATTAAGTGGAACGTGTTTATATTTATTTAAAGTTGAGCTTTTTGATGTGACGTCACATTTCTCAGACCCCCCCCCCCCCCATCGTCACAAATGTCTGACCCCCCCCCCAGGTGCGTGACGTCACTTATGGACGGTCCCTTATCGGGGAGCGGTAGTGTAGCAGTTAGCGCGCTGTGCTAGGAACCCGGGTTCGATTCCCCGCTCACGGCCAACACCGGTGACGATTACCTGAACCGGTCGTCCCGGGCCTCCCCTAGGTCGACTCAACCTCAAATGAGTCCCCGGTGCTTTGTGTAAAAATACCATCGCCGCGAGGGAGACAAAGAAGGCCGGGAGTGGTGCTGGTCACCCGCCCCCCTCACGTGCCGTCCCGGCCTTCATAGGTGCTCCTCGCACTCAGCACTTGCCCCTCCAGTGTGTTGAAGGCTACGCGGGGGATCTTTGTCTCTGTGCGGTTACGGACAGCCATGGTGCGGTCATCGTCGCTGGGGAGTTTCGTA